TAGAAGATCCTATCAGAGTCTCGTGTCTACCTACCACCTAATTCATCAATTACATCGACTCCACAACGACCAAATCATCGTATCACAATATGCAGAAATGGAAATAAAATGCTAAATTTGAAATTCAAATAGAGAAACAAATCTAACAATGTAGGTCTGGCACCATTCATCACATATCGTCACAAAACTTTCTACGATTATTTCTTACAAATAAAATATTTATAGCAGAGGATGCATTGAAAAGATATATGCACGGCATTAAACCCTAAGAAGATCTAAGCATGAATTATATGAAATCAGAACATGTAACGAAAACTTAGAGGAATCTTCAGTCAGGATTCAAGTACAATTTTATATAAAAACAAAGAGCGAGACGCTAGATATTACCTTTTGTCGACGGCGACGCACTTCGACAGGAGATCGTTGGAAAGGAAGGGAGAGATAAAAACAATAACTGCTCAGTTTTTTAACAGCATGCTCAAACCCCTCCTCAACTTAAAACAAGAAGCACTCTCGTGCCCTGGGTTTGCTAAATTGACAAGTGTACCCCTTAATGTTTCCGATAGTTTTATGGAAATCTTCAATAATAAAGTCTTAATATTTTGGTTCAGGTTGGTTTAATTCCAACATCTATTTTTTAAATAGAAAAATCTTGATTATCTAAATATATACGATAATTTATCATTTTCTGTTGAAAAAACAATAAGTATTGTTTCATTAAATATATATGAACTTTTATGTTAAGTTATACTGTACCCGTAATAATAATCATGTTTTGAACTTACGATAAGTATACATAAGCATAGATGATAAGTTTTACCTTTTTATTTATGAATGAGCCAATCCAAATTATGTTGCATCTCTTGCAAAAATGATAACTTTATTATGGATGTTTGGAGTAAACAAGAACTGAATAGTCAACACTAATCGGAAGAAGGTGGAATCGATACTAAAGTTGGTATTTGTGACAAATTTCCCTGAATTGGTGAATGTAAAAGACATGCAAACATGCATTTAAATTGAATTCAAAAGCATAGTGTGCTTGCAAAAAGTTTATTCAACATGATGTAAACTCCCAAAATTCATGACCAAAAATTTCGTTTTGATTTATTTAAAATTGCTTAATAAATTTTGCTCAATCATTTAATAACATTCGTAATATAACAATTATCAGAGTTTAAATCCCAAAGATCATCTAGTGCGGAAAACATGGTGTGATGCGTTGCGATCGCCCCGAGCTCCTTCCTTGGAAAAAGCATTAGTACCTAAAACAAATAGCTGAAAACCGTAATCACGAAACTTAATGAGTTCCCCAGATACCACATACCATACATATCAACTGATCCATACATGCCATACATAACCATGAGCTATACATAACAAACATATCCATAATCAAGTAAGGTGTTATGTACCAAACATAGTCTTGCTGTTATGCCACAGGCCGCACGTGGTCTTCCTTGCCAAGCTTGGGGCTACTCCCTGGGTCTTACAGACAAGTGCCAAGGGCCACCCACTGGTCTTCCATGCAAGCATCACAAAGACAACTATACATACTACTCTACTAGGCTACTCAGCATATAGTGTGCCATGAGCCACCTCCTGGTATTTCATACATAATAGCATACAGTGCGCCATGAGCCTCCTCTTGGTCTTTCATACATATTGCCTAGGGCTAACCCTCGGGTCTTCCTACCATACATAATAACATATTGTGTACCAGGAGCCGCCTCCTAGTCTTTCATGCATAATGCCTAGGGCTAACCCCCGGGTCTTCCTATCGTACATAAACTAAATGGGCTGGCATTGTGGCTGTAGACCCATACAAACAATGAGGAAACTCACCTCACACTGCCGAAGATTCACTGAAAACTTTTGACTGCTAACCAATACTTCTGAACTGCTAACCCTTCGGCTTCCCGAACTGTCAATATCCATAACAACATTTAGACCATAATAATCCAAAAGTTAACCCTGGTCAAAGTCAACATCCACTTGACCTGACTCGCCGAGTTGGTCTACTAACTCGCCGAGTCTATACTCCTCTAGTCCCAAAACAACCCTCGACTCAACTCGTCGAGTTTGGCAAGAACTTGATGGGTTCTCCTTCAACCATACTATCGGGACCACCTCGCACCGACTCACCGAGTTCATCATCCACATATAAATGTGTCTAGTTTGTGACTCGCCGAGTTGTATGAACAACTTGTCGAGTCCATCTTCATAACTAAGGAGATTGCCTTAGACTCGTCGAGTTCTTCCTTGAACTCGTTGAGTACGATGAACTTCATGACCATTATGGACTCGGGCCAACTGAGTCCCTTTCCAAGCTCACTCATGGAAAAGAGACTTACCGATCTAGCACAATGCCAGACTGAGTAAGACTCAGAGTCCGAGTACAGAGGCTGAGATAGCTGAGATGAGTTGATTACCATATGCTTCCGCTGTTGGCTCGATCATGTATACTATGACTTGTACTCGTCCTGATGTGGCCTTTGCTTTGAGCATGGTCAGCAGATATTAGGGAAACCTTGGTATGGCTCATTGGACAGCGATAAAGAATATTCTCAAGTACCTACGGAGGACTAAGGACTGGGTTCTTACCCTCGGTAGGAGTGATGACTTGAGAGTAGCAGGGTATAGTGATGCTAGCTTTCAGACTGATAGGGATGATTTCCGCTCTCAGTCAGGCGGGGGCTTTATCCTAAATGGAGGAGCAATTACTTGGAAAAGTTCGAAGTAGGAGACATTAGCTGATTCTACTTGTGAATCAGAGTACATAGCAGCGATTGAAGCGACAACGGAGGCTTTATGGCTGAAGAACTTCATTGGAGACCTTGGAGTTATACCAGCTATATAGCAGCCTATGGAGATTTTTTGTGATAGCAATAGTGCAGTTGCCTCAGCCAAGGAACCAAGAGATCATGGCAGATCCAGACACATTGACAGAAAATATCACTTCATAAGACACAAGATAGAAGAAGGACTCCTCGTGGCAAAGAGGGTATCGTCAGAAGAGAACCCTGCAGATCCCCTCACCAAGGGACTGACTAGGGTTAGACATTTGCAGCATGCGAGAAGCATCAAGCTGAAAGACGATATTAGTTTTAATAATTAGATAGTTTTCTGAAACTTGTAAAATATAATTGACGTTTGATGATTAAAAAAAGTTGTTGTTTATTTATAAGTAAGGTGTTACTATCTTATGTTGTAACATCCATAAATTTTACGCCAAATTTAAACTTTCAATCATAAATAAAACCCAAATATCATTGTTTACAAAAATGTTTTCAAATCATTATCCATCAGAGTGTCCCAACATCATAACATAAGGATGATGAGCGGTATGGTCACGCCTTCGCCTTGCCATGATCTCCTGAAGTACCAGAAACAATAAAATGAAAACTGTAAGCCCGAGGGCTTAGTGAGCTACCCCCAAAATACCAATACCACACCGACAATACCATATCAGTAATAATCAAGCAATCAAGATGCATACTGGGCCATCGGCCTGAATGGACCGCCCTATAGGGCCTACAGTCTATCTGGATCTATCCCGAGTCTTTTACATGAACGGTCTGCCACGTGAGCCTACAGTCTCCCCGGACCGCTCATAGGGTATGTTGGCCTTCAGCACAAAGCAAGACCGCCTCAACCCAACCCACAAGCAAATAACCATGTGCGCATAACTATCATTGAAATATATATATATATATATATATATATATATATATATATATATATATATATATATATATATATATATATATAGGGTTAAGTTCAAATGAGAACAATATTTAGTGTGAGAATGTGAGAACACTACTTTATGTTACTATTCTACTATGAAATTTGTATATACAACGATATGACATTATTCATCAACAAATATACGAACAATCACACATTAATATTCACATTAAAATTTTGTATGTACAACTTTATGACATTATTCATCACCGAATATATGAACAATCATATATTTAACATTCACATTAGAATTTACTAAATTACTACACATATATATATATAAATTTTATAGTAGAATAGCAATATAAAATTGAATATATTCATATTATAATTACTATAATATATATATATATATATATATATATATATATATATATATATATATATTAAATTCATAGTAGAATAGTAACATAAAATAGTGTTCTCACGTTCTCACATTAAATAGTGTTCTCATTTGAACTTTTATATATATATATATATATATATATATATATATATATATATATATATATATATATATATATATATATATATATATATATATATATATTTGTTTGGGTTATGACATCAAAATCCTAGCAGTTCTAATATCAACTAACCCCACCCTCAAGAAAGTGATGGTGCAACAACTTAAACTAAAACCCGGACATATTTCAATATGTACAGTCATTTGATCCAGACCCATGACGAACCCGGTAAATATTCAAGCTGATGGCTGGATACCTAGATTAGGTGGCGCAACATCGTCTCGTTTACCCGCCACATTTTAAAACCCTATATATATTTTCTGAATTAATTTCCTCAATGATTCGTATTCTTAGGTTATTGTAAAATTTCTTACTTATAAACAAATCCAACTAAGCCGTATTAAAGATTATTATGGCAGCTAGCTGTTCACTAATTATTTTACATTTTAAATCTGAAAAAAAAAAAAAATACTAAAGGCATTCATAGTCATGGTCTTTGTATTTGTTGGTTTGGTATGTCACAATACAAATATGAGTGTGACTAACATAAAGTTATGCTTGAAAAATCAAAATTAATTTGAAAGAACGAATGTCTTAAACCATACCCTAATTCAATTATAATCCAAGAATTAGATTCCGTGGTTTGCATTTGAAGTAGCTTTAATTTGCTTAATAAACACAACATAGCAGCAACGAAGTTAGGCCAACCGTTGCTCTTACTTGTTATTTTCTTTCATATCATTGCCTTTGATTCAAAGCAAAGCAGTTGTGTTTCTTGGCCACCATCTCCAACCTTCTTCTCTTTCCCTCCCCTATATTTCTTTCTTTTATTTCCATTCCAGTGTCATCATGTCATCTACCCTAGTTGTAGCTTGATTCATCCCTCTTTTGGTCAAAACAATGACTTTTTAGAAAAAAATTTCCCGCCTATATATATATATATATTATCGTTTTCTTGAATATCTAATCTATTTCTTGAGGTTTCAATCATACCACATCGGTTTCTTGACGTTCTAGTCCACCCATATCAATTTCCTAAAGTTCTAATTAAGCGTACGACATTTCGACTTCTTTTAGTTTTGTTCTTTTCCATATTGGTTTCTTGAAGCTATTGTCCCAACAATATCAGTTTCTTAATGTTTGGTTCATGTCCACATGATCCAATTCTTGAAGTTCTAATCATGCCCATCTCGATTTCTTGAGGTTTAATACCTATCCAAATTGGTTTCTTGAAGCCGGAACTTTTTTGAAGTTCTAATCATACGTATATCTTGTTCTTGGACTCTTGGTCCAACCCCACGTTAGCTTCTTTAATTTGGATTGAAAAAGTTCTAATCATGCATGCCCACAGTTTCTTGAAGTGTTGATCATAAGTACATTGGGTTACAAGCTAATTGTTTATTCTCATGGATATAATCAAGAAAACTTGTTCTATAAGTTTCTTGAAAGCAAAGATTCATGGGTTTAGGTTAGTTTGAAGGTATATTAAAGCTTAAAGTTATCTTTTCTCACAATGAATACGCGGTACTTGTTTACACCGGAATCATTATGCAACTCTGCGGTGACAGTTACATTTTCATTGATTCCATCAACGGGACCCGGGGAAGAGAGGATGACAGAAAATATGGGCCCACGAAGCAGGACCTCGACTCGGGCTCCTTCTGCCATCCCTTCTTCTTTCTTGGTAAGAATGGCAATTAGGATATCAAGGGCAAGGTGGTATAGTTTTGCAAGAAGGGTGTTTCATTACCAAAACGGGTCAAGATCAGATGATATTGGGTCGAACCCGTTTAATTCGGCTTCTTGGATGTATATGGAATTGATGGGTTTGGTTTTCCAAATTGTGGTTATAGCGTATACTCTTTCGGTTTCCAAAGAAGAGAAGCCGGTTTGGCCCATGAGAACATGGGTTACCGGGTATGGAATCGGTTGTGTGCTTAATTTGGGTCTATTATTTTGGCGATATTGGCTTTTTTGCTTGAACCAAATTGGAGCAGAACTTCCTAGTAACATTGAAGAATCTAGGTAATAAAAAGCTTATACGTTCATACAAAAATGCAATACTTTCGATTGGGTTATGTAAGAAACACAACGTTTTTTTATTTACAAAATACATAATTTACTATATGGGAATGGTTAATATCATCAAGCCCATATTGGATTTTTTTTAAGGATTAAACCATAACTTAAAAAAAAAAAAGACAATTGCATTTTTTTTCTGATTTGACCATAATATATTATAGTTACCGGTAGTCTTCCGGTTTAAACAACTGTTTTCGGAAAAAATTTAACTTTTTTTACCAAAAAGTTATCAAATGTAAGGTTTTTTTTTTTTTTTTTTTTTTTTTTTTTTTTTTTTTAATTTTTTTTTAATTTTTTTAATTTTTTTATTTAAAAAAAAAAAGTTGAGAGTATTTTCGGAAATAAAAGTTGATGATTTTTCCAGAAAAAAGAAATCGTATAAATTGGAAAGACGGTAAACTTGTTAAAAGGGTCGAATGGAGAAAAAAAAAAGTTTTTTTTAGAAAAATAAAATAAAATTTAGGTTTAATCTTCAAAAACTATATATATATATATATATATATATATATATATATATATATATATATATATATATATATATATATATATATATATATATATATTGCTGAAAAAAATTAAAAGAAAAATGATTTTATTTTAATTTTATATATATATATATATATATATATATATATATATATATATATATATATATATATATATATATATATATATATATATATATATATATATGCGATTTTAAGATTTATAAAGTCCAAAAAAAATTAGATACTTCAAAGTATCTTTTTTCCTATGTATGTCTATTCATTTTCTAGGTTTTAGGGTTTTCAAAGGTTTATGTATTATCTATTTATAAGTCCTTATTACAACATTTAATATGAGGTTTTTCAATAATATGTTTGTAATCGTGAGGATTTTTCAATAATGTCTCTATAATAATAAGGATTTTTTTTAATAAAACATTAATAATAGTTGTACTTTTCTTGGATTAAACATATACAATATAAGAGTTTATTGTACGAATTGAAATCATAGAAAGGTTTATATAGTTACAAATTTATTATAAGAGGTTTTTATATAAAATAATTTTTTTTCCGTATTTATTGAAAATGTATGAAGGTTTGAATAGATGCAAAGTTAATATAGTAGTTTGTCATTAGTATATAATAAATGGTGTTTTCCTATCATTTGATTTTTACAATACTCAATCTTAGGTCATAAGTCTTTTTGTTTTCAATAAGAAATTAATTCTAGCACTTAACTATTAATAAAAAGTTTAAATCATGTATCATATATATCAAATGTGAATTTTAAGAATTATACATGTTGATTAGTTACATAAATAGAACTACATACATGTATATTATAAAAAATAAATAAAATATCTAATAAGCATGTACAACCATACAAATAAATCATGGAAATGAAGTTAATTTTGTTTTATTATAATAATATACAGGAACTTGCAAATGATGAACAAATCTCGAACATTTATGGAACTCTTCTTTGCAATATGGTTTGTGATGGGGAACGTTTGGGTTTTCGATGCTCGATTTGGGACCTTTAGGAAAGCTCCTAAACTGGATGTGCTTTGTATCTCACTACTAGCTTGGAACGCCATTACCTATTCATTCCCTTTTATATTATTCTTGTTTCTATGTTGTTTTGTGCCAATTATTAGCAACCTACTTGGATACAACATGAATGCCGGATCAATCAATCGTGGTGCATCTGAAGAACAAATATTGAAGTTGCCTAGTTGGAAATACAAACATATTATAGAACCCGATTTGGAACAAGGGAAATTAATTGTGGATAGCTCAACCACTGTAAGTTTAATTATTACATGACATCGACATTTGACATTAAACTTTATTATATGTAATGCTAATAAAATATCTATATATTTACAGGAATGTTGTATATGTTTAGCAAAATACAAGGAAAATGAAGAAATGAGACAATTGGGATGCTCACATAACTTTCATATGAAATGTGTGGATCAATGGCTCAAAATAGTATCATGTTGTCCCCTTTGCAAAAAAGAATTAGAAAGATGACATGGGCATGGACACCAACATGTCATGACATTTAAAGAACAACATATACACAAACACATGTACACTTATTTTGTTTTTGCTTTGATTTTTAAAAAGAAAAAACTTTGTATTTGTAAAAATACGTATAAGTTTGGTTACTAGAGTGAGGAAAGTGGATATAGATTGTGTTCACTAGTAATCATTACGTTTGTAACTATTAGGTTTAGTTTTAATTGTACTTGTTATTTTATGTATGTTTTTGAGTAAACACATGGCTTCTTGAATCATTTTAATGTACAACCTTTATATGAAATACTTAAATATATTCATTTATATTTTTATATTTTTGTTATAATGCCTATAAAAGTATTTAAACCCTTAAAACATTTTTATTTTTGTATTGTACCTAAACACACACACCACAATATGAAATTCCAACAAAATGAAGTAATCAGAAACAATGTGAGTGAAGATGTCCACCAGTACAATGGTTTTTCAGCTTAACTCATTAAGTCATTTCCAGATTTAGTCAATAAGAAACAACCAATGAACAATCGACCAGAAAAAGAAGCTTTTCCCATCAAATATTCACCTATTACAAATACACCTTCATTTATTCATTTTCTCAAATACTTTTTAATGTCATATATATATATATATATATATATATATAATATATATATATATATAATATATATATATATATATATATATATATATATATATATATATATATATAGAGAGAGAGAGAGAGAGAGAGAAAACACTACCTACCTTGTTAGTAAGTATATAAAGTCCAACATTTGCATTATAGGTGTTGAGAAAACCCTGGGCGCCTAGAAAAAACAAGAAGAACACATCATTAGAGAAAAGGTAAAGGGAATTTATGTATGATAATGTTTTATTCTATAAACATATAAAAGGAATAACATACCTCCAATATAAGAATACAATGTTTTCACTTTGCTAACCATGTATTTTAAAAAGCTCTTCTGGAGGTTCCATTACCATCACACCAGAGTTGAGCCTCTTGGAATGCTTTAAATTGGCACAAAATTTCCCACATTTGAATAAATCATCCATGTTTTCAGCATGAAGGTACATCAACAACATTCAATAAACAATATGCATATTATAAATCACGCAATCATAAAATCTGACAGATTTGATATTTATATAAATTGAAGATACTCAAAAGTTGTTTTGCAAAGTGGGGTTTTGTATAATCCAATGTTGACATTGCATTCAGAGAAAATCAAAAATACAATATGAAGTTTTTACCTTAAAAAGGTGTAACAATGAATTAACATTGTGGACATGTGACCTTATTAAGCTATAAAGCATACACAAAAGCACAATATAACAAATGTAATTATGCCCTACGTGTTCAACACAAGCAACACTTAGGTATTATAGAAAACCAATTCACAAAGAGAGACAATCAAATACTTAAAACTTTCAAAAAATTGCATATTTAATAGAAGCCTAAAAAATCTCTATATGAAAGTGCAATATATAACCATATGGTGCGCCAAAGAAATGCTCCTTTATAATGAAGATGCCTTCGAGTTCCATGTAAATGAACAACAAATATCAGAGATTCAAGTAAAAGCAATTACAACTAAAAAGGCAATGAGAGAATATTAGATATAGACATGAAAAGAGTCAAAAAAGATGTGTTCTTGTGTAATATAATATACTGATTGTTGTGACATGTTCAACAAAGGTTTGGATGCTGGATGATGGATCTGTCATGGAGGCATTCCTGAGAACACAAACACAAAAGAATCATTAAAGGACGTCCGGGTGTTTTCCCAGGACGTCGCTCCAACGATCAAGTTAGTTTTCTGGGAGAGATAATTTTAGGGTAATGTTTTTGAGAGAGAAGATGGATCCATTCCTTGAGGCGGAAGAGATCCTTTTATACATGTTTCTAACGGATCGTGGGGACCTCATCCGATGAGTGTGAGACGTGGCATCCTCTGAATGGGAGGATCATGCCCATGTTAACTAACTACTTGGTGACGTCAGTTCTGGGCGTCACCTAAGCTTCTTGTCACGCCTGATTGGTCGTGAGTGAATGAGAAGATCACGGGGGATATTCGTCCCTCATGGAGGGAAACGAACTGTCACCTTGGTGTTGGACTGCCTTGGCCAAGACCGGGCCTTGACCAAGGTCCTGACAAGATAATGTCTCGTTTATGCTTTCTGTTGCATTTAACGTGGCCGTTCATGGTAACGTTAACAAGTCCCTTAGACCAGTAGACCTCTGCGTTCGTGACATAGCGGAGTTGTTTTGGTCTTCTCACAAACACATGGCGGGCTGCTATTGATAGCTTATGCAGTTGGCAGGCGAAGTCGCCATTGTTCGGTGGTTTCATCATGAAAACGGTTCGCTGCCCCTTTTGTGGCATTTAAACCTTTGTTCCTCTTGGCGTTTCCTCCTTACTTTCTACCTTTCTCTATTTGACTTCTTGTTTCTAAGAAAACCCTTTCAACCCTTTCTTCATATTTTCCATGGCTACCACTCACGCTTTGGGGAGAGATCTTACCACCGAAGAATGGGAATCTTTTGAGTTCCGATTTGGGTTAGTTCCTGAACATGGAGTGCAAACCCCCTACCCAATGCATCACTTTACAGTCCTTCCGAGGGAAAAGTTGGCATACCAATCGCCTTGTTCAAGGCAGGTCTGTGCTTGCCCACCACTGATTTCTTTAACCTGATCATCCGAGAATACGAGTTTTCAGTGAGAGAGTTGACCACTATTGCTATAAATAAGATAGTGGGTTTTGAAGTCCTCTTCCATGACCTAGGCCGCTTGCCAACTGTTCTGGCTTTCAAGTACTTCTTTAATGCCTCTACTCATTTGAGGACTCAAACCCTTTCTCGTCGGTGGGGAGTCCCTACTCTTATCCACGATAAGAAGTCCAAGAAGAACTGGCAAGGGAAATTTTTATGGATGAACAATGATATTGTGGTGCTCAGTTACCTGAGGGCTCAGGTGTATGTCAATCGTGCTCCCACACTATTTGGTGCTGACAAGGAACTGACTGATGTCCTAGAGAAGATCAACATCAATGGTGAAGATTGGCTTGACTGCTTCTTGGCCGCCGTCGGGATGAGAGCCGTTTGGAGGGCTCGTAGGAAAATGCCTGATTTCTTCGTTGAGAAAGAAGGTATTTCTCTTGCTCCTCTTTCCCCTTTTTAATATATATATATATATATATATATATATATATATATATATATATATATATATATGCAAGACATGTTTAAATCGGTGTTTTGGTTAACCGACATTGTTTTTTTTGTTGCCAGGTGTGGAGGAGGTTGTTTCTTTATAGAAAGCTCTTCAAGGTCTGTTCGACGGTGAGCTTAAGTGTCGTTACGTCGATTTGGCGGAGGCTCTTCCACCCCCTTGTTTTTAGCCAAGGAATCAAGGTGATTTTCGGTTCTGAAAGTGTTACCGGTGTCAGCGAGGATCCACATCTGCAAGACATTATTGTCATTGGTGTTTCTCAGAAGGATCCTACACTGTACGGGTTCCCGAGGAGTCTTCGTCGGGGCAAGAGGTGTTTTGCTTCCTTGGAAGCCTTTTTCGATGGTCGAACTGAGACAGCCAACACCGAGCCCCCTCTTCGTAAGAAACATAATATGAGTTTCTTACTGGAGGGTACCAAGGATTCCAACCGTGCCCCCGATGAAGGTCTTCCGAAACTGCCGGAGGAGGCACAAACTGTTGGATAAGGTGTCTAAGTCCATAACTATATTTGGTATGTACTTGACCCAATTTGGCATGGTCCATTTGGGTTGCATGGCATCGAAACAATTTGGATAGACTTTTGTGAGAAGAGGATATTTATGGTTTATTAATATATTATAAGTTCTAATATATTAATATGAATTATTTAATTAGTATTGATCAAGAATTAGTTTGGAATTAATTTTTTGATCAAAAGAGACTAATTAAATAAATGGGATTGATTTGGTAAATCATTCATTCTTATATAGTGGGTTTATGATCCATAGTTCTTTATGTTGGGCTAAACCCATGTGGTTACCCATGAATACTCCATGGAGGTTTAAACCCATGTATCACGAGGAATATGGAAAGGCATGAGTTACATGGTGTAACCCTAATGTGCACACTATATAAAGGAGCCTCATCCAAGTTGTTGAGTCTATGGGTTGCGCCATTGGGCTTCATTAGTTTAGTCCAATGTATTCACAGTTTGGGCCTGTCCAACAATGTATTTGTTTTTAGGGTTTAGTATTTATGGTGGATGCATGCATCACATTAGAGACACTTCTTGAATATTATCTTTGATAGTACTGTAACCCTAGCACACCTCTACAGTAGAAGTTCTTCATCGAGCTCTTATGAGGTGTTTGTTGTTTTAATCATTCGACATCCGTTTGATTCATTGTGTGTTTGTTCTTTGGTTTACTTTCTGTTTTATTGGTTAAGAATCTTATCTATCTTAAAAGAGTTTTTCAACTCATCAATTGGTATCAGAGTTGGAGGCTGTGTAAATCATACGCATCTCTTCTGTTTGAAGAATTTTCTTAGGGTTTCTACTTTTATTGAATCTGCTGAGCCGTCATTCCTTCATTGACGTTGTTCATAGATCTCGATATTACCCTATTCAGTCTTTATAAGTCTGATTCTTGACAAACATTCTAAACATGTCGTCATGTCTCTCGATGATTCACAAACCAACCCCATCAACATATCCAACATCATCTGATCAACCACAAGAATCCCAATCTTGTATACTCAAGATTATAAAGTTTGGACGCATCACTTTGAAGATTATGTTCTTGGTTCAGAAGACAATGGCTATCTAATATGGGAAGCGATCATTGTGGGTCCTTTTTCTCATACTGGAACCGAAAGAGTCATCAAGACTCAAAAGGAGTACAACCAGCTAATGATTGACATGAAAGATGTTGCTAAAGATGAGAAAGACAATCTACTTTGCAACATTAAAGCTATGAGAATGATCAGATTCCCATTGCAATCAGATACCTTTCGTTTGGTTAGTATATGCACAACAGAGAAAAAAATATGGGATAGGCTTAAAGAGTTGTATTCTACAGATGAAGGTTTAGAGCATTTAATACAAACTCTTTTGCTCTTAGAGTTTGGTGATTTCAAGTAGAAGCCAGAAGAAAAACTCATTTAGGCCTTTGATCGCTTTAATCATCGCCTCAGCAAAATGATCAAGCATGGAATTGGCAGAGAAGTGATAGAGCAGAAGGTCACTTTTATGAATGGCCTAAGACCCGAATGGATGGTGGTGGTTTCTACTGTAAACGCCCATGAACAGTTCAAATCCTATTCATTGGCGAAGCTTGTGGGAATACTTAAATCACATGAAAGCATTGTGACTAAGGAAACGAATGTGGTCTCTGGTATGGGATCGTTGGCTCTTCTTTCTAAAGGGAAGAATGTGGATGATGAAGAAGAAGAGTTGGATCTCTCTGAATGTGATCTGATGAATGATGAATATGCTTTAATGGTCTCCAATCCCAAAAAGTTTGCTCGCAAAAAGTTCCCTACCACTAAGAACCGAAACTGGAAGGGGAGTTATAGCTCCGAAAAGGCGAAAGAGGAACCTAAAATCGCTCCTCAGCATGAAGAAGCGAAGAAGGAGAACAAGCTTGTTGGTGACTCCGGTTATGATTGCAATTTCTGCCATGACAAAAATCACTTTGCCAAAGATTGCATGTTGAGAAAGCTGGCTGAGAAGAAGGAAGGAGAAGACGATGAAGCATACCATTCACGCAAGCTGGAGGAAATAAAGAAGAAGAAAACATCTAACCATACTATGAATGCTTTAATTGTGCAGGGAAACATTGCTGATGATGAATTCGGTGGTCTAGAAGTCTGGTTTATAGACTCTGAAGATGAAGAAGTTCGCAAGCCCACACATGGCAGAGCTTTTGTGGAAAAGGAGGGAAACTCTGAGCTTGGTGGAAGATGTTTGATGGTGACTGCTGGAGTGTCACAGATGAGAGGCTATACAACCGAAGGCGAAGGTGAGGAAGCGAAGGAAAGAGAAGACAAGTGCTTCGCAACCAAACCAATGGGAGAACAGATCAACGAATGTGATAAGTTGATCAAGAAGGTACAATCTATTCTTGAGTCTCTGAAAATACCAGTTAATAACTATGAAAAGGAATTAAATAATTTAAAATTCAACTTTTCTAGTTTAAGTGGTAGTCTAAAACAAAATCGCCTAGAAAATTCTAACCTAACTGATCAAATTAGTAGGGTGTCTTCAAAGAGTGAGGAAAGAAGAACTTGGATAGAGCAGAAGGAGGTGGAGTTAATTAGGGTGAAAGATGAAGTTATTTATTTGCAATGTGATAACTTGAATCTTTTGAAATAAAGAAACATTTTTTTCTTAATTGCTAAACGTTTATATACTAATATTACTCAATTGCATTTAGACTGTGAAATCGGAAAAAAGATTCACATAATGATTTTGCCCTTCCTAGAGTTAAATGAGGACGAAGTTGATATTGATGGTTATAACTGTGAATCTATTATTTCTTCAGATGAAATCTCTGACGCCTATAAGATTGGTCTGGAAAAAATCGAGTCCTTTGTTAAGTCCACAGACCATAAGGACATGCTTAAAAACCTTTTGGACAAAAATGATAAATTGAAAATAAAGACCGAAACCATGCAAAAATTTGACTCATTGAATGCCAAGTTGAGTTCAGAAAACAAAATAAACGTTGAAAACACTTCTGGATTTGATGAGGATGGTGATATGAGTGAAATATCTATAGAGGATGAAGTTGACTATTCAGAGTTTGTCAAAAGCGAAACTGAACCTACCAAAGGTCTGATATCTGAAAATTCGGTTGAGTTCGGCCGAATGTCCCAAGATATCTCCAAGGTTCTGAAACAGGAGGCTGTGTTATATCAAAAGATACAAACTGTACCTAATCAGGTATAGACGACAACATGGGTCACTTAGAAACAGACAGTCGAACTCACAACCTTGGTGAACGAAGACAACACCGGTGGCTGCGATGATCATTTTTGGTCCACTCCAATCGACAATGCAGATGAGACTGTCGGTTTATCAGAGCGAACCTCATGGAGGGTTAAAGGCAGATACGTGGTAGTACCACTTAATAAGCCTGCAAACATTAATGTACCAAGCACAAGTGGTACTAAATAAATTCCAAACAAACATGCGAAATTGACAAGCGAAACCTCTTCAATGAAGAGTGAATCTCATGCTGAGAGACCAAAGGTGAAAGTAAATATTCACAAGTCTCAAAAGCAACTTGCTGAGCAAAAACGCCTGCGAAACAGGAGATATCAAAAGAATCTCAATGAAAAGAAGCAGTTTTGGCAATCCCAAAAATCCAGTTACGTTCGCACAGAAAAGGCATCAATACTCAAGGCGAAAGCAGGATCAAAGGATAATTCTGGTCCATGAAATCATTGCCAATCTTACAGTCAGATCAACCGAAAACGAAGTTTCGATCCCAAATCAAGTGGTGACAAGAACCGAAGCCCAACTTCGGTCCTAAACCCCATCCTCCTTATTCTCGACCAAAGCATAATCGTAACAAGGATGTCAAGGATGGAAAGGGAAAAGGGAAGCTCATCTCTGATTACAAAACGCAAACAAAGAAGACGTCAGCTAACCCTAGGAAACACGAAAACATGTTTGTTAAGAATCAAAATAAAAATCCTCAACGTGACTGAAACAAACCAAAGGATAACAAAATCAAGGTCTTTACAATCAAAAGGAAAGATGAAACCACTCTAATAAAATAACTTATATGGTTAATCATTCAATTGCTATTCTCTGTTCTGTAAAAGGCTCACGTGGACCCAAGCAACTTTGGGTTCCTCAATCTACTTGATTTTTGTAGGTTATCAATGACAAACATTTCGACGACGAATGGTACATGGATAGTGGTTGCTCACATGACAGGAAGAAGGGAAGAACTGAGAGACTTTTGGGTTTTATCCATAAGAACACCCTATGTGCTCATACAAACCCTAATGCTTGGATCTAGGTTTCTCTATTGTACATGTAATTCATCCAAGACTATAAACCCTAATTCTAGCATATGATAATCGATATTATATATAATAATGGGTTTAAGATATTACCTTGATTGTTATGTAGCAATAACAATCACAATTCCTTCTTGTAATGACTTTAGAAAGCTTAGAGTCACAAATGTCACTCCTCTAATGGTTCACAAACACCAAGAGCAAGAGGATGAAGAGGAGAAGAGAAGGAGGCTGCCCAAAATCATCCAAAACCCTAGAGAACCAGTTCCACACGTTTTTGGGGCTTAAGGGTGCTATTTATACTTGTAGGCTATTAGGGATTTAAACTAGGAAACCCTAATCTGAATGCTTTAGCCCTAAGCAGCCCATGGATTCCTTTCTTAAAGGCCTTGGACAACTTCTTATGGGTTTCTCCATAGAATTCGTCCAACCTTATAATATAAGGCAATCCATAGCCCAATTGCAATTATCTTATAATTACAATTCCAGTCCCTTAAGTTTAATTAATCTCTTTTAGTCACAAACTTAATTCTTATTAATTCTTGACTAATATTAATTAAACAATATGATTTCTCCTTTAATATATTATTCCCATAATATATTAATAAATCATATTTAATCCTTTCTCTCCATAATTCATCCTATCAAGTTGTTTTGGTGAAGGCAACCCAAAAGGACCATGCACCATCGGGTC